AGGAAGAAAGAGAACCACGATTCGTCATCCAGAGCTCGCCTTGTGCCGAAGCAAGGAAAAAAAAAAACAATGAACTTGGACTAACAATCCCGCCAGAAGGCTGAGGGACACTGGCAGGTGGATGTTATGGTTATGGGCCCCAGGGGTGGATGGGATTATGTGTACATGCCAGGAGGAAAATCAAGGCATGGCCAGAGGGCCTTGGTGGCCCAAAGCAGCCTTGTGTGAGGTTCTCTGCAGCCAGGCAGAGGAGATGGATCCAAAAGCCAACTCAGACAAGACAAAAGCTGGTGCTAAGGTTGGGAAGCCCTGAACGGTTGTTAAGCAGCTGAAAGGATGCTAAAGAAGGCAGGGGAGCCTCTTAAAATCACCTGTGGGTGATGCCCTGTTGGTTTTTGAATAAGGGAGAGGAGCTGAGGAACTGCCCTTGGGGCATGGACAGGGAACGTGGCTGTGGTGGAGCCCACAGGGAGAACTGTGGCCCCAAGAGGGGCCACATGTGGAGCTTGTGTCCATGGATCCCCGACCCATGTGCATGTGCAAAGGGCTGGCCTGAGTGCAGTGTCTGCATGTCACACTGGTGGCTGTGAAGGTGGATTGTAGGGGTGACAGCAGTGAGTACCCCGAGGATTGCATGGTTACCCCCAAAAGAGTATACATTGTGTCACCAGTCTCAGAATAAGCACGTCCTGGGGCTGGATGTGGTGTGTGGGCTTGTGACTGACACCTGCAATGAACATATAAAGCTTGAGCAATATAAATATATTGACTAAAAGTGTAACTAAAAATATATTAAGGTGCTTGCAAGCACCGCAGTGAGTGAAAGTGGCGGCGTCCACATCCTGAGTGTTAAAAGACTGAGCCTGAGCCTGATAAGGATGTATAAAAGGAGCAGATTCATGAAGCAGACTTGGAGCAGTTGTTAGGAGTTGGTGCCTCAACTCCATCCGGGGTTCCCAAAGACCATATGGAGCCAGAGATGCAAAAGCAAAAAGGCTTTATTGCTAGCTTAAGCCAGGGCCCAACGCTGCCTGGTGTGCTGACTCAGCAGTCTCACCAGGTTGAGAGAGGGACCCACTCCCAGAGCAACCAGCTGTTTTTGTACTTTGTTGACAGGATGCGGGGACTTTTCCCACCTGGGGCAGGGTCCACCCTGATTGGATAGCTCTCATGGTGCCAGCTAGGTTTCCTTTACAATTGTCTTGTGGTTTTTGCCCCGAAACGAAACTAGCTGTGCCCTTTTGAGATGGCAGTTATTCTCAAAATGGCTGCAGTCTCACTCATCTTACACAGTCCCCAAATAGGCTCTGAGTGAAGGACTTGCCAGAGGCTACTCTTCTGGAGTCTGACTCGCTGCCTCCCTTTGGACTCAGACTGCTCTCCAGCCAGCACCTCTCCTCGCTGCACCCCGCCAACCGAGCCCCACTCCCAGGTTCTTCCTCCCACAAACCGGCGGCTGCTCTCTGACAGCAGCACATGCTGCAGACCGGCTCAGCATCCTGCTTGATCAACTGGACTTCGGGCCCTTGAGCCTAGAGACTCCCACAGCCGGAGGACTCCATCTGGGACAGGCCCGGCTAAGACACATCGCGGCTACTGGTAAAGACACTGGTCCTCTGGGAACTTGGGGTTGGCTGCCTACATGAATGTAAGTGTATGTGTGACTAATACAGTAATAAAATTCTCTTTGAGAGCCAACTTCCGACTGAAGCCAATTAATCACGCCTGTGACAACACCACAGCCAGAGAAGGCCAGGAAGCCTGATGGCTTCTGGAGTGTGAGGCAGATGCCGTGAGTGAAGAGTGGTTCCCCCTCACATAAGCAGCGCCTTCGGGAACAGAATTGGTGGATCTTCTGCTGTGACAATAATCTTGTCTTTTTACCCCTAGGTTGGGGCCCTCCCTGGGCTTAGTTGCATCCTGTTGTATTTTGGTGCATTGTTATATTCAGTTGTATCGTTTACTTTTGTGGGTCATGGCTGCAGGGTTCATATTCGCCAAGGGAAACTATTGTGTAGATTGTACGGTGAAAACCCTGAAGGGGTGGATTGTAGGGTAAATGGAAGTGATCAGGTATTTTCCGCCCTCCCGCCATTAGCATCCATGATCGACACTTGTGGGTTTACTTGAGCCCCTGAGCCAAGACTGGGCATATAAGGGCGGCGTCACAGAGGACCATGCTGTAGAAACCAGCAGAAAGAACAGCAGAGAATGCAAGAGAGCCCAGATAGAGTAAAGATTCACCCGAGGCTGGGACTCTGCCAGCCTCCTGGCCCTCGGGCTCCCCTGCCTGCCCCTCACCTGGTCACCTCACTACAAATGGTGTAGAAAGATCGGTAAAAGCCTGAGAAAACCACCAAGGGCTCAAGACTCCTCCTCTACCCGTCTGCCCAGGTCATAGAGAAACTGCTCGGTACCTTCCTGGTGCTACAGTATTCATCAGGATCCTGACCCATGTGATTAGGCAGTCTCTTCTGAAAATGCCTGTAGTCCTCGGAGGTGGAGGGATCCCTATTCAAGAGGCCCAGAACCTATGAGTAATGGGGGTTCTTACTGTCAGAGCCCAGCAGCATCTGTCAGATTGATGAGTCGCCTGTGATTTCATGGTTTGGGGAGGATGAGACAAATACAGAGACTGTTTCAGATGTGAGCTAACCACTTCTGGGGCTCCTTCCAAATCTGACTATATTTCTGGTGACTTAGACAATGCAGGAGCATCCTCAGTCTGTAGGTGCTGCCTCCAAACTACAGTGAGGCCAGAGGGACCATCCTCCATTGTCGTGCTGGCTGTGCACGGTCAGTGGTTCCTGAGGGAGTTCTGTGCTTCCCAGTCCTCGGTCTAGTCTCATGTCAGTTTGAGAACCCGTGTAGGGATCCTGGTGCCTGGATGCACATTAGTCTCACACAATCAAATCATGGGCTGTGACCTTCTCCCCCAAATCCTGTCAGGTGGGACTGCCGATCGCAAGATGGAGAGGTTCAGCAAGTGTAGGAATGTAAACTGGTGCAGCCTCTACGGAGGCTGTGTGGAGTTTTCTCCAAACACTAAAAATGTATCTGCCATATGATCCAGCAATTGCACTCTTAGGAATTTACCCTAATACCTGGGCCACCCTAACTTGAAAGGAAACCTGCCCTCCTATGTTTATTGTAGCACTATTTACAATAGCCACGATATGGAAACAACCAAAATGCCCCAAGCAGACGAATGGATCAAAAAGGTGTGGTATATATACGTAACAGAATACTACTCAGCAATCAAAAATGGCAAACTCATGTCATTTGCAGCAAAATGGTTGACACTGGAAGGGATTATGCTAGGCAAAATAAATGAAAGGACAAAGATAAATATAGGATGGCTTCACTTACATGTGGCATGTAGAGAAACTGAACAAAACGTCAAGAACAAGATAAAAATTGCAAGCTGACTATAGATCAGAGTCACACAGCAGGGGAGGGGAGGGAGGGGGTGCAAAACAGGGGGAGGAAGAGCACACGGCTATGGTGAGCGTTCCCAGGTGCTGGGGTGGTGGGAGAACTATGGAGAATACAACTGAGGGGAGAAGCTGCACAAAAATGAACAACTATATGAAAATAAATTTAAAAATTGGTATGTTAAAGTACAAAACAATAGTTTGAGCAAGTCTTTGGCAGAAGATAATTACACAATTGATCAAAAGTATAAAAATATTTGAAGTAACCAAAAAAATAAACCAAGGCAGCAGAAATATGGGAAGACTTTCATCTTGAAGAGCTCCTGTAATGAGTGGAAACTGCAATGCACAGCCTTCTCACCCGAGGGTGCTCTCCTCCCTGCAGACACTGCAGCCCAGTGTTTCACGGGCAGAGCAGAGCAGCTGGACATTCCAGGGGAAATATAAACCTGAGAGGGCTGCAATCTCAGAAGGATCGCAACCAAATTTGAATACAAACTGTGCCCAGGTGTGGGGCACTCAAGAAAACTGCTAGAAAAGCCAAAAGGACCTAGAGTTACTTTTCCCGTTAAAGAGAGAGACTGATGCTGGTGAAATCGGTGAGTCTCCCTCTTTCACTGATGACTTGTTCATTCCACGCAAAGCTCAGGCTGTCAAAAGCAAAAGTCTTACTGGATTGAGATATTGAGGATGGGACTTTGTGGCTGGACTTTTATTTGGAAATTTGGGGTAAAAGCCAGGAGCAAGACAACCACAGAAAGAGTGAGCAACGAAATTGGAGTAGAAACTGACCAAAACTTGGTTGACCTTTCAATCTCACAGATGCAGGTTAAATCCTTCAAAGCCAGGATGAAAGTGCAGCATGTGGACTCTGGAGAGAGCACAGCAGCTGCGCACACTGCAGGCTTCCCTGGGGTCCAAACAATGGTCCATGGGATGTGTGGGGGAGGGGAAGTTACCCTCAGGAAAGTAACATAGATTCCAGATGTGCTAAATCTTATATCTTTCATGTATTTGGAATTAAACCTGATTTCTCCATGGGGCTCATTGGCGTCAAGCTGAGGCTTGTCCTTAGAGATAGTACGTGGGGGAGCCTGTCTCACGTCTGGGCTCCTTAGAGAACGTCTTTTCCTTCTGTACTGGGGTCTTCACAGCCAGAGGCACTTATGGTCCGTTTGCCCTCCATTGGCCTGTAGTTTGGGCTGCCCCTCCCTCTGTAGAGAGTGGGACAGTCCCTCTTCCAGCGCCCTGTGTGATGGCACAGAGGGCATAGCCCTGGGTGTTCTCTTTGCACACTTGTGGCTGAAATGTCCTGGTTGCTTCAGGCCCTTTTAGAGAGACAGAGATTTACATTAGTTTCCCAAAGTCCTTGTGTTTTACTTGGTCTCATGAGAACAAAGGCAGCTTCCCCATCAGCTGCTGTGAGTCTCTCACTTTAGTCTCCAGCATTTTCCCTCCTGCCTCAGTTGTGGCGTAAGAATTGAAATTTATACTCCCAACTTCCCCCAGGATATCTTTGTTCTCTAGTTTATGAGCTGGTCATGCAGCAGCTCAAAAGGTCTGAGGACACAGTCCAGGGATGAGTAGGCAGTGAAGGCCTCATTACCCACCTGCAAGAGAATGACAGGAAAAGCACCTCTTTTTGGTCATCTCTGACCTGCAGCCAAAAGGCACCCCTTTTGGGTTTCGGAATTATAGGAGGAAGGTGACTGTAGTGGCAGGATGGGCACTGAGCAGGTTTTCTATGATACAGCAGATGGGTAAAGGAGAGACTTGGCGCCCTCAGTGGCTTTCTCAGGTTTTTATTGAGCTTTACATGTAGTGTGGCAAACAGGCACATGGCAGGCAGGGGTGCTGGGGGGGCCAGGAAGCCGGTAGGTGTCCAAGCCCTTGGCAAGTCTTCACTCTGGGCTTCTCTGGCTTCTTTCTTCTTTCTCTCCTTCTCTCACCTGATTCTTCTGCTTCTTTACTCTCTTGGTGACTCCTCCCACAGCCCACAGAAGTAAGTAAGACAGTTTGCACCAACGTAACAACTGCAGGTGCCCCATCAGGCCGGGCAATCCTAATGGTGGGAGGGCAGAAAAACCTGAAAACCATTTACCCTACAATCCACCCCCCCTGAGTGTTTTCTTCTATACAGTCTATGTATGTACAATTTTCCCTTAACAAACATAAACAATGCAGCCATGGCCCACAAAAGAAAATACAACTGAATACATAATGATAAAACAATACAACAAAATACAAATAATTCTAGGTAGGATACCAACCAAGTGGCAAAAAATGATTATTGGCACCAGCAGATGATCCACCACTTCTGCTGCCAAAGGCACTGCTCATGCAAGGAGGGAACCATCCGGCTGTGGTCTCACCACAACCACACACAGCATCCACTCTCAGTATGCACTCACTCTTGGATTGGTGATTGTAGAGGCAGGACGGACTCTGAGCAGGTTTTCTGACCCAGCAGACGGTAAAGGAGAGTCTTGGAGCCCTCAGTGGCTTTCTAAGGCTTTTATTGAGCTGTTACATATAGAGCAGCAACCAGGTACACGGCAGGCAGAGGTTCTGGGGGGGCCTCCATGCCCCAGCAACTCTTCACTCTGGGCTTCTCTTTCTCTCTTATGGCTTTCTTTCTCCCCTTCTCTCTCCTCTGCTTCTGTCCTGACTATACCATGGCTCTCGGAAGAAAACAAGATAGTTTGCAACAATGTAACAACTGCAGGTGCCCCATCAGGCAGGGCAATCCTAATGGTGGAAGGGCAGAAAGCCTGAAAACCATTTACCCTACAATCCACCCCCTTAGGGTTTTCTGCCATACAATCTATATACAAGTATATATAAGATTCCTTTAACAAACACAGCAGCCATGGCCCACAAAAGAAAATACAACTGAATAATGAAACAATACAACAGAACATAAATAATTCCAGGCAGGGCACCAACCTAGTGGCAAAAGACGATTATTGGCACCAGCAGATGATCCACCACTTCCGCTGCCAAAGGCACTGCCCATACGAGGGAAGGACTATCCAGCTGTGGTCTTGCCCACAAGCCACACACAGCATCCACCCCCAGGATGCACTCACTCTTGGATTGGTGATTCTATACTCTTTGGGGGTAATTGCCCAATCTTCAGGGTTTCTGTCTACAGTCGCTTCAACACTGGGCTTTCATGGCCACCAATGCGACACGCAGACCCCTGCACTCAGGCCAACCCATTACACAAGCACATAGGTTGGGGATCTGTGGATGCAAGCTCCACATGCGACCTCTCTTGGGTCCCCTCTTTGGCTGTGGGCTCCACCACAAGCAATGTTCCCCACCTGTCCCGCAAGGACAGGGTCCTCAACTCCTCATCCTCACTTAGCAGTGAGCAAGGCATCACCCACACTGGTTTTCTTTAATATATTTAGGCTGCTTAGCAGCTACTCAGGGCTTCCCAATCTCAGCACCAGCTTTTGCCTTTCTAAGTTGGCTTTTTTTCCTCTGCCTGGCTGCTGGGCAGTACACAGACTGCTTTTGGCCACTGAGGCCCACTGGCCACCCCCAAATTCCCATCTCCTGGGGTGTATAAACAATACCATCATCCCCCAGGGTCCCCAAAACAGAACATTACCCTGCCAAAGTTCCTCCACCTTCTGGTAGGATTGTCAGTCCAAGTCCATCAGTCTTTTCCTGCATCAGCACTGGGCGAGCTCCGAACCATAGTCCTTTCTTCCCCAATAATTCTGCCACCTCAGGGGTCGTGGGCTGGTCCTCACAGGCCATCGCCTCCTCCAGGTGAGGTCTCGTCCCGCAGCACCCAGATCTTGTCCACCTCCTGTGCTCCTGTAGCATCTTCAGCTCTTCCCGCAGCTCCTGGACTCTGGTCACCGCCTGTGCTGCCATGGCACGTCCACTGTTGTCACAGGCAAACACAGTCTGCTCCTCCTCAGTTCCTCCTGAGGTCTTCAGAGGGCTCCATACCCGTCTGCATCGTAACATCCTGGCGACTTACGCCAATTGTGGGGGCAGGATGGGCACTGAGCAGGTTTCTATGATCCAGCAGATGGGTAAAGAAGAGTCCTGGAGCCCTCAGTGGTTTCTCAGTTTTTTATTGAGCTTTACATGCATTGCAGCAACCAGGTACTTGGCTGGCAGGAGTGCCAAGGGGTAAGAAGGCCATGAGGCCTTTAAGCCCCCGGCAAGTCTTCACTCTGGGCTACTCTGGCTTCTTTTTCCCCTTCTCTTTCCTGCTTCTGCTTCTCTTGGTGATTATCTCAATACCCCTGCCATGGCCCACAGAAGTAAACAAGATAGTTTGCAATAATGTAACAACTGCAGGTGCCCCATCAGGCAGGGCAATGCTAATGGTGGGAGGGCAGAAAAGCCTGAAAAGCATTTACTCTACAGTGACCTGCACCCACAGTTGGAGGGGAGAGATGTGGTTTAGTCACCCTTACCCATGCCCAGCATCTCTCATCCTGCCCCTACTCCTTTTCACAAGTCTGAACACTCAGTCAGGCCCCTGCCTGGAGGGCGGGTCTCAGGCTGGTGAGATGCCAGGACACGGAGGAGGAGCCTTTCCCAGCTTCCAGGGAAATGTCTGTGGTGCCTGAATGGAGGAGCAGGGAAACCAAGGAGGGGATCCAGGGACCAGTCCAGGGGGACAGAAAATCTGTGGACAGGACAGATTCTGGGGCCACCTTGGACCAGGGAGTTTCCAGGGTTATGTTCCAAGTGGTGTGTGGGGAAAGGTGGGTGGAGGTCAGGGCTTGGGGCAGATTTAAGGATCACAGATTGATGCAAAGCCATGACCGCGAGTCAGGGATGTGGACAGAGACCACCGTGTCCAGTATGAAGAGCTGTGGGGTCCTGGACAGGTGGCTCAGGAAAGCAGGTATGCATCTCCTCAAGTCTGAGAGAAAGTATCTGCAGACAAAGTAAACTCACTTGTTTTTTGAGAATTTGCAGTAAGATCAAACCATAGGCCTTACTTAGCACCGGCTTCACAGGAAATGAAAACCACCTACACAGGAAATGACATGAAAAGGACCACTCAGTCTCACTCAGTGTGCACGGGGTATTTTTGTTTTCTTTGTGGCTGTAAGGCCCAGACAACCACTTTCACCAGTGTCAGTGGGGTCCATTTATGGATTTTAATATTGTCCTCTGCTTAGGCTCAAGGAGGCAAACTGCCCAAAAATAAGCTGAATACAATGTGAATACTTTTGATGGTCATTTCAGCTAAAACCTGGGAAATAGCTTGTCCCAGCACTTTACAAAGGTAAGTAATTTGCATGCTGTTATATGAAATGATTTTTATTTTTATGTCTTCAAATATCTAACAAAAGTTTATGAAGTTTAAGGCTATAAGGTTTCTGACTTGGGTATTTTCTGTTAATCACTTGTTATATAATGTTAAAGTAATACTCATAAAGGAATTGATGTGCTTTGGGTGACTGCATACAGATTAAATATAAAGTGAAATCATTATTTCCTTCTCTTTTTTAAAAAATATTTTTATTTATTATGCATATAAGAACTTGGGTATAGGCCAGAAGTGTGGGGGTTGACAAGATCCACCAGATACAGAATGGGGGAGCAGAACAGACAGATCTACTGAAATACACTGCTGAGGGGAGCAGCAGGCCAGACAGGAGAGATCTGCTGTGCCTTGTGGATCAGCTCCCTCACTGGGGATGGAATTCATGCTGCAGTGGCTGGTAATAGCCTGATAGCACTGAGACTTGAACCCCTGGGCTACCAGGAGTGCCCTTTTTCCTTGTCATTCATCTAATTTCAGACATTTGTTTTTCCAAGAGAAATGATCATCTATTGCTGTAGTGAAATTATGCTTCAGACATTGCCTATGGCCAGTAAATACATTTTTTTCTCATAAAACTGATATTACCATAGATATAAATGATAATACATGGCTGTGAAGGTATGAAAACAGCTAAGCTGCTGCTTATGATTGACTAATAGTCTTGTGGATGAAAGGAAAAGGGAGAGTTAGAAAACTTATTTGTTGAAAGATCAAAGATGAATAACATATTGTATATTGACATATCATATTTACATGGGGCTATAACATATATTTTGGAGTTTTGCACCGGGCACAGCAGGTTTCTATGATTCAAGCAGACCTGGGTAAAGGAGGAGTCCTGGAGCCCTGGCTTTTATTGAGCTTTACACGTAGTGCAGCAACCAGGTAGAGGGCAGGCATGGGTGCTGCAGGGCCAGGAGGTCTGCCTCCCCCCAGGTCTTCATTCTGAGCTTCTCTGGCTTCTTTCTCCCCTTCTCTCTCTGGTCTCTCTCTCCTGGATGTTTCTCTCACTTGCCTATCTCAACACTCCTCCCATGGCCCACAGAAGTAAATAAGACAGTTTGCAATAATGAAACAACTGCAGGTGCCCCATCAGGCAGGGCAATCCCAATGGTGGGAGGGCAGAAAAGCCTGAAAACCATTTACCTTACAAGCCATCCCCTCAGGGTTTTCTGCCATACAATCTATACACAAGTATATACAAGTTTCCTTTAACAAACACAAACACAGCAGCCATGGCCCACAAAAGAAAATACAACAGAACAGCTTTCGGCAAAATGTCGTGTCAGGGGTTCCTGAAAGGATGAGAGGGCCTAGGCGACATGTTAAGGGCTGAGGGGAATGGAATGAGGCAGACAGGCACTCTTCTTTTGGGTGCAAGTATCTCCTAATGAGGGGCTCAGCAGGTCTTTATACCTTTTTAGCAAGCAGAGAAATGACATCGTATGCATAGAAGCACAGCAGAAACAATCAGTGCATCCCTTTCCCCATAGACTTTTGGCCACAATGTGCTCTCAGCAAGAAGACAACCTTCAAGATTAATAAAAAACTAAGCCTTACACTAGAGCTCATTGTTTCAGCTAGACAATTACCTAAGACAGTGGATAGCCATCAGTACACCCCTATCAGCCAAAGCCTGAGCAAGAAAAGTCTTTTCTTATTCGCATGGCCTTCACCCAGGGACGGCTGCTACTCAGCTATCAGAACTTTTTCTACCTAGAAACTCCTTAACTCAAATAACTTCATTTAAAAACATTCCCAAGAAACTCCTAAAAAGCAAAGGAAGGACTTACTATAATTGTTGTGCTGGATTGCTTGTCAGGCATGTACAATAAATTGTCTCCCATTGTCAGGTGGGCCAAATTGTTTAATACTAATTTCTAAACAGATAATTTTTTGTGCCATTTACTTGCAGTCTACTGATACATATAATTTATTGTCTAAAGTACTTTCTGGGAAATTTTTCTCTTTTTATGACCAAGAACAAAAAACGAAGGGATGTTAAATCTTCAGCCCCATGGTGTGAGGCCCTTTAGCTTTGGCCCCACAGTGTGAGGCCCTTTTTCTTAGCTGCTTGCCAGTATCTTATCTGGCTGGGGCAACATGGCCTCCTGAAGCATTTCCCCCTTTTTTGTTTTTGGCCATCATTTGCATAATTTGTAATTCAATATGCATCTGATTGATAGCATGGAAAAGCAATTTGATAAACAATGGGAAGAGAATTAAAATAATCATGGACACAAGCAAAATAGTAACTATAGCAATAAATGATGGAAACCAGGCGGCCTTAGTGGTATAGTGCTGTAAGGAGGCCAAAAAGGAAGCAGCAACCTCGGCAGGGGTGGAAGAGGAGAGATGAGCTAAACTAATTGCCTTAATATCTTCCTGCAGAGCAGTAAGGTCAAGGGAAACATTCGTGTTATCCCAAACACCCAGCAAATGATTTTTAACATTATTTCATGAAACAGAGGAAGAATTATAAACAAGTGGAGTAACACAAATTCATTTGCAATCAGAGCAACATGTAGTGGTCAAGCAAGTTTTGATATGCTGAATTTGATTATCAATATACAAAAGTGTCTCCTTTAGAACACTTTAGCGTGTTTCAAAATTTTTTATCTAAGAGCATAAATATTAAAATTATTACACAATATTTCTCTAAATCTACAGGTAGTATAACATAAGGAGGTTGATAAACAATTACAAAAACAATTTGTCTACATTATTTCAAGCACTATTTAAATCAACAAGCAAGGTTTCACACAAGGGAATAGAGGAGGCATGTTTCTGCGTAGGGTGGCAGAAGTTGGTGACGAAGTAGGACTGGTCTGTGACTCCTCAAGTTGCAATTGGTGAAGAGGAGAAACCAAGGCATCAGATAAGTCTATTGGGGATCCAGATAGGTGAATCAGTGTCCTGTAGAAAAATACAAGCATAGCCTCTCCCACAAGTTAAATGAATAAAAAATTTTTTGAAGGCAGGGGAGGTGTAAGCTGGTGCATTATCTGTCTTAATAGACTTAGCCTTTTCTGCACAAGCAAAGCAAAACATTAAATGTTGAGACACATCTTTTTCTCCTATCCGAGCTGTAGCCATAATTAAATGAGAAAAGGTGTCTACAGAGACATATACATAACTTAATTTTTTAAAGCTGGGAACATAAGGTTTTAGGAGGAACTGCAGCATTAGGAGAATTTAGTTTCTCTTGAAGCAATTCCTGATTTCTGAGGGCAATTTTTACTGAAATGGCCTGTGTGGCCACATGAAAGCAAGCTTCAGTATTAATTAATCTTTTTTCCATTATGTGAATAAATTCATCAAATAATGCAATACAGTCAAATTGCCAACACATATCATTGTTTCTCTTTAAACCTATTATTTGCAGGTTTTATAAACCAAGGCAAATAAAATTTACTTTCCCTCAAACCTTCTACAACTTACTACATACCCTCAATGTTAGCTTTTTCTCTATTCTTCCACATCCTGGCACAACCAGACATTTTAATTTTAAGACAAAACTACTCTCCCTTTCCTTCTTTTTTTACTTACCATCAGTCATCAATTGTTCTTCCTCTTTTCTTCAGACACTACTAAAACTTTCAACAAATCATGATGGTGTTTTTTTTTTTCATTAGTCCAGAACACAAGGAGGTGCATTGTGTGTTCGCCACCCCAAAATGTTACTTTAAACATTACAGTTTTTAAAATTGGCTTAAAAACAATATAGCTTGGTTTCACTTGATAAAGTTAATAAGACAAAAAAATTTACATATGTAAGTATATATATATATATATATATACACACACACACACACACACACATAAGTTTTTAGTCAAGGAAAGAAAAATACTTTAAAGATACATTTATACAGAGTAGATTATTAATATTTAACATTATAACTTTTTTTTTTTTTTTAAGAGGCATGTATTTTTATTTATTTATTTATTTGTTTGTTTGTACATGCACTGGGTATAGTCAGAAGCGCGGGAGGGTGAGAGAATTCACCAGAGCCAGAGCGGGGAGCAGAGCAGGCAGAAGGACCGAAGCACACTGCTGAGGGGAGCAGCGGGCGGCAGGAGAGGTCTGTGCGCCATGTGGGACCCTCCTCTGGTGGCCGGGGAGCAGCCGGGGATCGAACCGGCCCCGCAGAGGCCGCGGGCAGCTTCGCAACCCAGCGCTCAACCGCTGCGCCACCGGGGAGGCCCTAACATTATAACTTTAAGGCATATATGCTTTAAATTATGTCATAAAATTTGAACTACTTCTTGTTTGTCAAAAATTTTGGATCATGATCTCAAAATTTGTTTTCATGAGAACTTATATAGGCGCTGTTTATAATTAATTCTCCAGAGGTAAAAAACAAAACAAAACAAAAACACAAAGACAGACACAAACAGACACAGAGATCTCTTGATATACATTTAAAATTTTGGCCATGTGCATATATTTTAAGACAGTTATTTTACCAATATGTGTGAAGATACTGAGGTTTTTAATGAGTTAACAGCTAAAATCTGTACACAGAGTAGGTGTCTAATTTTAATTATTACCAAAGACCTTGAGCTCGAGACCACAACAGTCATGGCAGTTTTTACTAACTTTTTAGATAAGAAAATATTTTTTGAGTTCATATTTTTAAGAAATGATTTTTTGGTTTTAGGTTGTTAACACTTTATTTCACTGAGAACAAGCATATTTTAAAACAAAAAAGAACACTGTTATCTTGAGAACAGGAGAAGAGGTAAATTTTAGTCAGTCTGCCTGTTTTTAGGCTTTTATCAAAATCTGAGGCTTAGTATTTAGCTCAAAAATGTCTGTATTACCACTTTATATTTTACCAGGTTAGTTAGTTTTAACAAGAAACTTAACCTTTTATAGGTCCAATAAGTAAATTTAAAAGCTTTTATTCAACCAATAAGCATTTTGCATAGCTTGTTAGCAAGTCCAAAGTAATTCAGCAGTTTTTGCCTTAGACAATTTAGACTTTAAAATCAGAAAAACACAGGGAAATAGAACTTTTTTTCTAGAATGAACCAAAATAGTTTTTTTAAGGTGGACAATAGAAGAGTTCAGTCCCCACAGCAGGAAGGCAGTAGAGACCGGCCAGTGATCTCAACACTGGAGAAAAAGTCCAGGCAACTACTTGTTGAGACCAAGGACAGCCCCCACCCATCCATTTCAGTGGGTTTATACTATTTTAATAAATTCCTCTTAGTCATATTATAGTCATATAATCTCATATACTCATATTTAACCATTTTCTATCACTTTAACAATTGTGAATGAACTTTGAATACTATTATTTAGAAGTACCTTATTTATTTATTTATTTATCTATCTATCGATTTATTTATTTATTTTAAAATAACAAATGGAAAAACTCCAACTGGGGGGGTAACCTTGCCTCCTCCCCAAATAATTAACTGGAAAAGCTTGAAGAATTTTTTCTTCCATTTAAGATCATGTCACATTATCTCTTACTTGTTTTTGAGTTTTTATTTTTATCTCTTAACAATTTTAGCCAAGTCCGGGTTGGAAATTTGGGCTGGATTTCGGAATGGTCTCACAATTGGGAGCCGATGACTCTACAAAGAGGTCAGTGCTGGCTCTGGGATTGATTTTTGATTTTTGAAAAATAATTTCATCATCTGATGAATCCTGATCACTTTCCCTAGTACTGCAGGCTATTTTTTCTTTTACTTTTGGTTTTGCATCTTTCGTTTTGCCTCCAGCCAGGCAAAAAAAAAACGACCTATCTGTTCAGGCAATTGTTTTGTTAATACAGGGCTGTCAGCTGAGTCCTTTTTGATGTCCTTTAGGGATACAGGTAATTCTCTGAGTTTTTAATTTATTTTCTCTAATTCAGACCCTTGATCTAGCATATCCTGTAGCAGATGCCACAGTGAAAAGGCATCTATGGGGACCTTCTCAGGTCCATGGAGAGTATAATAAGTTGTCATTTCCTCTCCTACTCTGGCCCAAGTTCTTACATCCAGAGATGTTATCCTTGGGAACCAAGGATAACACATTTTAACAAAATTTAGGAAACTAGCCAATTGCGCATGAGAGGTCTTAAGGCCTCTCTTAACAAGTGTATACTTAATTATATTATATCAATAAAGAGTCCTCTTTCCCTAGACTCATTGTGGCCCAATGCCTTTTCAACAATAAGACACCCACTCGCCTTATTACAGTTCTGAATTACTGCTCCCTCCTACCCTGCTTTCTCTACAGGGGGGTATGCACCCTAACCTATGGAGCAGATGCTAGCAGTCCCCACCAGGGAAAGAAATCTTACCTTTCAAGTCCCTGTTCAGGCGCCACTTGCCGCAGACCAGCCTCGGCAAAATGTTGTGTCAGGGGTTCCTGAAAGGATGAGACGGCCTAGGCAACACGTTAAGGGCTGAAGGGAAGGGAATGAAGCAGACACGCACTCTTCTTTTGGGTGCAAGTATCTCCTACTGAGGGGCTCAGCAGGTTCTTTATTTATATTTTAGCAAGCCGAGAGATTACATCATCATATGCATAGAAACAAAGCAGAAACAATCAGTGCATCCCTTTCCCCATAGACTTTTGGCTGCTGTGTGCTCTCAGCAAGAAGGCAACCTTCAAGGTTAATAGATAAAAAACTAAGACTTACACTAAAACTCATTGTTTCAGCTAGACAATTACCTAAGACAGTGGATAGCCACCAGTGCATCCCTATCAGCTAAAGCCTGAGCGTGAAAAGACTTTTCTTATTCACATGGCCTTCAGCTGGGGACCGGCTGCTATTCAGCTATCAGAACTTTTTCTACCTAGAAACTCCTTAACTCAAATAGCTTCATTTAAAAACTTTCCCAAGAAATTCCTAAAAAGCAAAGGAAGGACTTACTATAATTGTTGTGCTGGATTGCTTGTCAGGCATGTACAATAAATTGTCTCCCATTGTGAAGTGGGCCAAAGTGTTTAATAACTAATTTTTTTTTAAGGTTTATTTTTTTATTTATTTATGCAAGCACTGGGCACAGTCAGAAGCGCGGGAGGGTGAGAGAATTCACCAGAGCCAGAGCGGGGAGCAGAGCAGGCAGAAGGACCGAAGTACACTGCTGAGGGGAGCAGTGGGCGGCAGGAGAGGTCTGCACACCATGTGGGACCCTCCTCCAGTTGCTGGGGAGCAGCCGGGGATCGAACCAGCATTGCTGAGGCTGTGGGCAGCTTCACAACCCAGTGCTCAACAGCTGCGCCACCGGGGAGGTCCTTAATAACTAATTTCTAAACATAATTTTTTGCAGTCTACTGATATATATAATTTATTGCCTAAAGTACTTTCTGGGAAATTTTTCTCTTTTTATGACCAAGAACAAAAAACAAAGGGATGTTAAATCTTCAGCTCCATGGTGTGAGGCCCTTTAGCTTTGGCCCCATGGTGTGAGGCCCTTTTTCTTAGCTGCTTGCCAGTATTTTATCTGGCTGGGGCAACAAAGCCTCCTGCAGCAAAAACACAGATAATTCCAGCCAGGGCACCAACCTAGTGGCAAAAGACAATTATTGGCACAGCAGATAGTCCACCACTTCTGCTGCCGAAGGCACTGCTCATACAAAGGGGGAACCACTCAGGTCTCTGCATCACACACCAGGAACCGTCAGGCTTCCTGGTCTTCTTCAACTCTGGTCTTGGCCACAAGCCACACACCGCATCCACCCCCAGGATGCACTCGCTCTTGGATCGGTGATTCTGTACTTTGGGGGTAATCGCCCAACCCTCAGGGTTTTCTGTCTGCAGTCACTCCAACACTGGGCTTTCATAGTCTCCAATGTGACACCAGACCCTTGCACTCAGGCCAACCCACTGCACAAGCACATGGGTCGGGGATCCGTGGATACAAGCTCCACATGTGGCCTCTCTTGGGTACCCTCTTTGGCAGTGGGCTCCACCATGAGCCACATTCCTCACCTGTCCCCCAAGGATGGGTTCCTCCGCTCCTCACCCTCACTCAACTGTGAGCAGGGCATCACCCACAGGTGATTGAGACTCACTGGCCTTCTTTAGCACACTTAGGCTGCTTAACAGCTGCTCAGGGCTTCCCAATCTTAGCACCAGCTTTTGCCTGTCTAAGTTGGCTTTTCCTCTGCCTAGCTGCTGGGCAGTACACAGGCTGCTTTTGGCCACCCCCAGATTCCCATCTCCTGGGTGTACAAACAATACCATCCTCCCCCAGGGTCCCCAAAACAGAACATTACCCTGCCAAAGTTCCTACACCTTCTGGTGGGATTGTCAGTCCAAGTCCATCAGTCTTTTCCTGCATCAGCACTGGGCGAGCTCCGAATCGTGGTCCTTTCTTCCCCAACGATTCTGCTGCCTCCGGGGTTGTGGGCTGGTCCTCTCGGGCCACCTCCTCCTCCAGGTGAGATCTCGTCCCACAGCTTCTGGACCTTGTCCAACGCCTGTGCTCCTGCAGCATCTTCAGCTCGTCCCGCAGCTCCTGGACTCTGGTCACCACCTGTGCTGTCATGGCACGTCCAGTGTTGTCACAGGCAAAGACAGTCTGCTCCTCCTCAGTCCCTCCTGAGGTCTTCGGAGGGCTCCATACCTGTCTGCTTCGAATCATCCTGCTGACTTACGCCAATTATAGGGGCAGGATGGTCACAGAGCAGGTTTCTATGATTTGAGCAGACCTGGGTAAATGAGGAGTTCTGGAGTCTTCGGTGGCTTTCTCAGGCTTTTATTGAGCTTTAAATGTAGTGTGGCAACCAGGTACACGGCAGGCAGGAGTGGGGGGTGGGGGGTGGGGGAAAGGGGGGCAGGAGGCCAGCAGCCGTCCAAGCACCCAGCAAGTCTTCATTGCGGGCTTCTCTGGCTTCCTTCTCCCCTTCTGTCTCCTGCTTCTGCTTCTCTTAGTGACTATCTCAATACCCCTCCCATGGCCCACAGAGGTAAATAAGACAGTTTGCAACAATGTAACAACTGCAGGTACCCTATCAGGCAGGGCCATCCCAATGGTGGGAGGGCAGAAAATCCTGAAAACCATTTACCCTAGTATATCTATAACCTCCCCCAAAAATATTGTTGAAAAATCAAAGTTATCTGAATAAATATAATAAAATAAATAACTATGAAGATGACTCAGGCCTGGGCTCTGTTCCAAGGAGAGTGTGGTCACAGGGATGTGCTGAGAATGGGGGGCCGAGGAGGCTTCAGATTGGACTGTGGTAGTTACCAAAAGGAGTGAGGGCTGCAAATTGTATTGTTAAGTGTGACACATAATTAAATTATTTAAATGTTCATCATTTCCAAGAGAAGACTCCTCTAATGGTATACTTAAGATTTGTGCATTTTTCCAGATAGAGTTTTATCTCAAAAAAAAAAAAAATTCTTTACCCTTTTTGAACTCTTGTTGTTTCCAGTGTAGACAAATGAAATGTGGGGCCTCCCTATTGACGCAAGGGATCAAATCTCAGCACTATGAAGCTATTGGCAGCCACTGCAGCAAGAATTCGAACCCCAGCTGTGGAGTTAACACATATATGGGGCAACAGACCTGGCCTGTCTCACCCACTGCTCCCCTCAGCAGTGTAGATCCACCTGCTCTGCTCCCCACTGTGTCTCTGGTGAATCCTCTCACCCCCACACCTCTGACCTGCACCCCAGCTCTTGTATGCATAAATAATAAAATAAATCTTTGTTTAAATTTTTTTTAAAGATTTATTTGTTTATGCACACAAGATCTGGAGTACAGGCCAGAGGTGTGGGTGGTGAGAGGAGTCACCAGAAACAGAGTGGGGAGCAGAACAGGCAGACCAACTGAAGTACACTGCTGAGGGGAGCAGCGGGCAAGTCAGGAGAGGTCCATTGCACCACGTGGGCAGCTCCCTGGCCAGGGATCGAACTCATGCTGCAGAGGCTGTGGACAGCCTCATAGGTTGCATCTTAACCCTGTGCGCCACCAGGGAGGCCCAAATAAAATAAACCTAAAAAAAAAAATTAAAAAAAGGTTTTGACATCTGCCACTAACTTTGAAATGCATCAGAAAAATAAGATGGATGAACAGAGAGACGGATCCGTGGATAAAGATGAGTGATAAAGCAAATGTGGCAAATGCTAATGCTGGGATCGAGGTGGTGTGCTCTGCACTATTATTTCAATTATTCTGTGTGCTTGAAAATGTCCATAAAATACCACAGACTGAGTGGTGAATGTGGCCACACTCTGGGGACAGGTCAAGGACTCCAGCCTGTCCTTTAAAGCCTCGAAGTGCACCCATTTTTCTGAATTGCTGGGAGGATGGAGACCACCACTAAGCTGTTCCATGTGCCTGTCAGCCTGGCAGAAATCACGGCTCTGTCTGGAGTTTTTAATGTCTCCTCAGTGTCAGCTCCCAACATGTTCATGTGTCTGCTTCTAGGAGGTTCTGCAGCAGCTGCTCTCTGGACTTGGCCTGGTCCATCCCTACCTACACCTGCATCAAATGAGATCCTTCCTGTTAAAATTTTTTAATGTCCTCCTTGACGAGAATCATGTGTTCTTTCAGAAAAGTTGTCTCCTGTGTCAGGGCTTCGGCACCACAGAGCACAGGTACATTTCCTGAAGGGCCTGGTGACTTGCTGCCTCCTGGTGCTTCATCTCTTGTGTGAACAGATGCTGCCTCCTCCCCAGGGCGACTTGTCACTGCCTTCCAGGCAGGCTCTCTAGGACCCTTGATGGTCGCCCTGTTCTCTGCTCCTTCACATGGACTCTTTCAGCCAGGGTCTTGGAGAAGTCCCTGCCCACACTGCCCAGGCCTCTTGCCCAGGCCATGACAGCTGGCTAAGAATGGCAAGGAGGCCTCACAGGTGTCCCTTCAGATCCACAGCACAGGCATTTGCCCCCTGAGGCCCCTCTGGTAGGTTGTTGAGATTCATACCAGAATTGTGAGAGCCAGTCACAACTGAGCAGTGAGTAGACCAGGATACTTTTCTTCTCTGCAGTTATAATTATCTTGTTCCTTCATGACCTTAGTTCCTGTTTTGCTTAATCTTAATCACACCCAAACCGTCCCCAGGGTCAGAATCTCCAGGGACATATCACAGACACCAGCTATTCTGCCCGCTTATCCTGGGTAGCCCCCTGTCTCCCAGCCTCAGTCCTGCCTCCTGGGTCCTGCTCACCTGGGCAGGGCTGAAGGACCAGATCCCTCACCTCACCCTTGGCCTCTCTCCTGTTCCCACCCTCTGTGGTTGATTTTCCTGTGTCCTGTTCTCTGTGTTCATCATCTTTGTTTCCCCTTTGCCCACCAGTGTCCTTTGCCCACTAGAGGAGGGACGTGGACAGTAACCCCTGAGACCACGCACAGCTGAAGTGAATGTCTGTGTCCCCAGCGCCTCCCTCATCTGGGCCTGACATGGTGTCTGGGCTGGATTCCCCTGAGGACTGGGCAGGCCTGGCTCCAGGGTCTTCTGGCCTCCAGGCCTGAGTTGTCTCTTGAGGGCCCCAAGGTCTGTCCTTCTCCAGCCTCTTTCTAAAAGTCCCTGGGGCGGGTCATAGTGTGGGGCTGCTCATCCCCTGTAGGAGGAACCCAGGGAGGACACTCAGTGTGGACATTTTATCTGTGACTGCTCAGGGATTTTCTTGAAATTTTTTCATCATTTCCACTCTCCGTTCTTTTAGACTCTTGTATTATTAACTAGTTGGAATCTCCTGGTTGATAGACACCGTTTCTTGTAGGTCTTCTCTCTGCTTGTCATTTATTTTCCACTTACATTGTTTAGTGGGAGTGAGACTTTAATATTCCAGGTCATCTACTGATTTATTCATTTCTATGATCAAATCTCTTATTTTTAATAGCTCTTATTCTGAGCACATGAAATTTATAAAATCTTTTTTTTTCCTTTTTTCTTTTTATAGTACTAGAAAATAACCAAATTTCCCTATACATGCATAGGGAATCTACATCTAAATCGTGTCTGAAATCCCTGTGGGAAATGAGGGTGTGTCTCCTGAGCTAAGGAGTGAGATGGGGCCTGGGACCTCCAGGAGAGAGGAGGTGTCACACGGCAAGGACAAGGGTGGCTCATATGATGAAGACAAGATATTCTGTAATTATGTTTGCCCTGACATATAGGTAGGTTTCTCAGACACAAAGCTCATTTCTGGTAATAACCCTAATTTTGGGTAAGACCACCCATTTTCATACTAGGTAGTTATAGAAGTGGTAAACATTTCTTAAGATGAACCCCTGATGAACCTCAGATGGAAATAATTCACATGCCAAGTGGCCTGTCTTGGGGACACCTTTCTGAACATCTTGGGGAGGCCTGTCCTTCAGAGCAACATAAATAAGGGGAAGAGCAGATAAGGGTGAGGATGGGGCCAGGACCAGGAGGTAGATTAGGCTACAGGCCTCCTCAGTGTGGTTGGGTCCTGGGGCAGGATATGGAGGGAGGCTGAGGGAAGAGGGAACAGGCTGGTTCCTTGGAGCCAGAGGACTTGTGTCAGGGGCGGGAGTGACAACTGTGGAGAGAGATAAAATCTGTTTTCCTTAAGCTTCATTTATTTTTTTATTTATTTATTTTTTTTTATAGAGGCATGTTTTATTTATTTGTTTATTTTTTTGTTTGTTTTTTTGTTTGTTATTTATTTGTTTGTTTGTTTTTTTTTTTTTGTTTATACATGCACTGGGCACAGTCAGAAGTGTGGGAGGGTGAGAGAATTCACCAGAGCCAGAGCAGGGAGCAGAGCAGGCAGAAGGACCGAAGTACACTGCTGAGGGGAGCAGCGGGCGGCAGGAGAGGTCTGCGCGCCATGTGGGACCCTCCTCCGGTGGCCGAGGAGCAGCCGGGGATCGAACCGGCGCCGCAGAGGCCGCGGGCAGCTTCGCAACCCAGCGCTCAACCGCTGCGCCACCGGGGAGGCCCAAGCTTCATTTATTTTTAATATTTTTTTCATCTCTTGATACTATTGATAATAGTGTTAGGGCTCCTGCTTCTCTGCTTTCACAATAAACATGATCCTTCCTCCCAGCACGGGGCTCATGTCCTGTTTACACGTGTCTTTGTCACCTTTACTCAGTGTCCATCTCTCCTGACAGCGCAAGCTCCACGTCTCCAGGGGCCTCTCTCTGCTCCCCATTGTATCTGCAGGGGAGGCAGCTTGGGGAGGCAGGAGCCAGCCAGGGAGAGGGATGCTGGGAAGTGAAGAGGAGGCAAAGGCAGAGAACACTTGGGAGATGCTTCCTGGTTTCCTGAGAAAAGCATTTCTCAAAGTGTGTTCTGTGGAGCCCTTAAAGTCACCCAGAACCTTTCATGGGATCCATAAAGTAAAACTATTTTCAAAACATCACTTAGACACCATTTGTCTTTTCACTATTTTGGCATTTGCTGAGGTAAAATTTAGTAAGAGTGGAGCTTATAGTACCACTGCAGAAGTAGTGATTCTTCACCAGCACTTACCTGCAGAAACAAATATTAAAGCCAATTTCACTTGAAAATGTCCTGGAAAAAGCATTAAAAGTTATCTCCATTATTGAGTCATCCTCAGCTCCACATTTTAAAATATCTGGTGTGCTGACCTGGAAGAACACACAGAGCACTTCTGCGGCATTCCCAAGCATGTTCCCAGAGGAAAATATTTGTGTGAGATGCAGCAGACTCTTTTTATTTGTGGGCAACACCAATCTTACCTGAAGGGATGAATGACAAAAACTAAGGTTATTTAAATTTGGTTTATTAGCAGACACTTTCCTCAAAATGAATGTCTGTTTCTTTCCTTTTTTTTTTTTTAAAGATTTTTCTTCTTATTATTTATACAATAGCTGGGATACAGGCTATACAGAGGCACAGGAGGGTGAAAGGCTTCACCAGAGACACAGTGGGGAGCAGAATAGGCAGACAGACTGAAAGCACTGATGAGGGGAGCAGTGGGCATGACAGGAGAGGTCTGCCACACCGGTGGGAATCTCCCTTGCCCACCAGGAATCAAACCTGCGCTGCAGAGGTGCGGACAGTTTCACAGTGCTGTGCTCAACCTGCTGTGCCTCTGGAGAGGTTGAATGTCTGTTTCTTGTAGAAAAAAAAATTGGCAACTGACAGTAATTTTGCCTGATAAAATATAAGCTCTCAGATAAAACCAGAATTATGAAATAAAAAGAGTCTGAAAAATTGAGTGCATTGCTACTTGACAATTTACAGTACAAATTTTTCTTTTGGGATTTGTGATTAAAAATAAAACATTTTTTGATCATTTGATTCCAGTGTAATTAACACTAAAGATCTATGTAACTCAGTGAAACAATGCTTCACCTTAAAAAATCGTACATTAGCACAAGTTCCAACCAATATGCAAGAGAGGCCTATGGAAATGTAACAGAATAGGAAAGATTCCCTGATATTATTTCAGGTTTCACTTAGCAAATAACCTTCGAGAAATGATCACCTATACAGTTTTAATTAACATTAATATTCACAATTATCTGAAAATACTACTAGTTTCTTCATTCCTCCAGGCTGCTGCTTCTCCCAGCCCAAATCCACTCCTCCCTAAGGTGGGGAAGGGAATTTGGAGCCTCCCCTGTCTGTGGATGTCACCCTGTCACAGCATCACGTCTCCCTCTCACAGGCTCTGTGGGGTGGTGCAGCCTTGATGACCCCACACTCACCCCCATTCTCTCTCCCCATTTCCTGGGGGTGTCCAGGGAAGACAATCAGCATCATCCTGCTCCAGTGACAAAGTCTCCAAGGACTCTCCTGGACTCCTTCTCCCCAGACCCCTGGATGGGGGCGTGATGCCCCTCACCCTCCTGCTGCTGCTCTGGGGGCCCCTGACCCTGATGGAGACCCGGGCGGGTGAGTGCGTGTCCAGCTGGACACTGTTGCTCCAGGAGGGAGGAGCAAGGAGCCCCTGCGGGTGCAGGACCCCAGCAAAGGCTCATCTCCCCCCAACCTCTTGTTCCCCTTCAGGCCCGTTGTGTTCTGGCCCCTTCTGTCCCTCTCGCGTCCCCTGAGTGCTCTGGTCCCCTGAGTCTGGGCCCTTCTTGGCCCACCCCCCTTTTCACTCTCACGGCCCCGCCCCTTTCTCCCCTCCAGGCCCATCTCCCTGGGCCCTGGGCCCGTGCAGAGAGGAGGGTCAGCCCGGGTCTCCCCTCCCGCCCCCAGGCTCCCACTCCCTGAGGTGTTTCTACACGGCGATGTCCCGGCCCGGCCTCGGGGAGCCCCGCTTCATCGCCGTGGGCTACGTGGACGACACGCAGTTCGGGCGGTTCGACAGCGACTCCCCGGGCCAGAGTGTGGAGCCGCGGGCGCCCTGGGCGGGGCAGGTGCGGCAGGAGGACCTGGACGAGGAGACTCAGATCCAAAGGTACAACACTCAGTTGTTCCAAGCGCTCCTGAAGGACCTGCGCGGCCGCTACAACCAGAGCGAGGACGGTGAGCTTCGCGGAGCGGGGCCAGGGTCAGGTCACCCCCCATTCCCACCATCAGGCCGGGGTGTCCCGAGTCTCAGGGTCCACTGACCCCTCGAGGCTGGTGGATCTGCCAGGCCCCTCCCCACCCCAAGGGACTCTCTTGCCTGCCCTTCCATTCAAGTTTAGGTTTATTCAGGGTGGGGGGTTGTGATAGGGGGAAGACCTCCCGGCTGACCGCTGGGCGGGGTGCAGTGTCTCACACCCTCCAGAGCATGTGTGGCTGTGAAGTGGGGCCAGACCTGCGTCTCCTCGGCGGGTATGAAAAGTTCGCCTATGACGGCGCGGATTTCATCTCCCTGAGCGAGGACCTGCGCTCCTGGACCCCCGCGGACTCGGTGGCTCAGATCACCCAGAGCGAGTGGGAGGCATCGGGGAGGGCCGAGCGCGTCAGGAACAGTATACAGAGCAGGTGCTTCCAGTGGCTCCTCAGATTCCTGATTTTGGGGAAGGAGGTGCTGCAGCGCACAGGTAAGAGGGGCCACAAGGCCTCGGACCTCCCCTTTCCTGGCGCCCCACAGGGAAAATGGAATAATGGGCAGAACAGCACCTGCTTTCTGGGCAGAGGGAGGAGCCCCCTGGGTTTCATGTTCTGTGCTAGAGAGAGACTCGCCCAGAAGACACCACTTTTCTGGACACCAATTTTAAGGAATCCAGTCTCTCCTGAGGGAGGGAGGCCATCCTGAAATAACTCTCCCGGGATCCTTGTGACCCGGCAGCCATCCTGGGAACCATGAGTTTCTCTTTCAAGGTCTTGTTTTTGGTCTGAGAACATTTCTGGATTTGACTCCTGCCTTTCTGTGTCATTCACCTCTACCCAGCTCAGGAGCAAAAGTCTGTGTTCTCCTTAGAGACCTGCGTCCACCTACCCTGGGCTCTCACCTGATTCTCCAGACTAGGCTGGTTTCTGGGCTTTGTGCTGCTTCCCTCCAAACCAATTGTCATGTCCATTCTGAGGATGGTCATTGAGGCTTCTTCAGTGTCCAGGAAGGAAAAACTCAAAGTTAGAATTTTTTGTCCCTTCTCTTCAGATCCCCCAAAGACACACATGACCCACCACCCCACCTCTGAGCATGAGGTCACCCTGAGGTGCTGGGCCCTGGGCTTCTACCCTGCGGACATCACCCTGACCTGGCAGCAAGATGGGGAGAATCTGACCCAGGCCATGGAGCTGGTGAAGACCAGGCCTGGGGGGGATGGAACTTTCCAGAAGTGGGCGGCTGTGGTGGTGCCTTCTGGAGAGGAGCAGAGATACACATGCCACGTGCAACATGAGGGGCTACTGGAGTCCCGAGTCCTGAGATGGGGTAAGGAGGGAACGTGGGCACAGAGCTTCTTAGGGGCATCAGGAGGCCTTCTGGAGATCTTCAGAGCATCAGATGGAGGCCTGGGGCTCAGAGTCTCCCCTTCCCTTCCATTCCAGTGCCCCCTCCTCAGCCCACCGTCCCTACCAACTCCACCAACTCCACCGGAGGCCTCATTGCTGGCCTGGTTCTCCTTGGAGCTGTGCTCACTGGAGCTGCGGTGGCTGCAGCTGTGAGGTGGTGGAGGAAGCGCTCAGGTAGGGAAGGGGGGGAGGGTCTTGTCCACTAGGGACTTTCATGTCCCAGGAAGAACTTCCCCTTCCTGGTTAGTAGGGAGTATGATCTACATGCCTGTGTCGCCCAGTCTGGAGCTGATTGCAAACACTCACTCTTTGTAAAGCACTTATGAAAATGAATCACCAATTGTTCACCTTATAACTGTGGTGATGGGGATCTGTTTCCCAGTAAATGTCACAGGGAAGGACCCTGCTGAGGAAAGACTCCAATTCCCTCTCATATCCATTCTTCATATATCTCAGTCCTGACCTGGGTCTTTAGTCACAGTTCTAGAAATTCCCCTGTGACCCAGACTTGGGGATTCCTTTAGGACTCCATGGCTGACTCCTCCCTTGTCTCACATGAGGTTTCTTCCCACAGGGGTACAAGCAATCAGCGACACTCAGGGTGCAGGTAAGTGTGGATCAGGGATTGGGTCCTGAGCCCCTGAGGATAGTGTAGAGGGAACCCTGGGGAGAGTCACCCTCATCAGTTTCTCTGAGGGGCTCATCTCTGGGCTCTGACCAAGTATCTTCTGTGCTTCCTCAGGCAGCAACAGTCCCCAGGACTCTGGGATGTCTCTCACCCCCTGGGACACACCAGAGGATCGGGCCAGGTTGTGGGGAGTTGTGAGTGGGACAGTCTTAGGATGCAGTGGACTATTGAGAATGTTATCACTGAATGTAATTCACCCGAATTTCTTCAATATTATTTTCCATCATAGAATGAGAGCTCTGCCTTGTGTGGGACTGAATGTTATAGGATTTCTCTCATCCCCATTTTGTTGCTTCAGGATCCTCTGCTTCATTTAATTTTATTTGTTTTCTAGCTGTCAGAGATTGATATAAAAATTTTTATTCAATCTATTTATTTGTTCTCTTACATCATTGTTAATTTTTGTGTAATATTTGATTTCTCTCTCAGGTGTAGTCCTTATAGTTATCTCACCACCATAGCACCCATGATCCATCACTACAGTCCCTTCTGCTCTTTCGTCCCTTGTTTGGATCCATCTCTTTCCCTTCCCCCTGGTGTATGCCTCAGATCTAGGATCAGGCTGCAAGTTTTGTCTTTATTCTGACCCTTTGTTTGATTTCTGTATATCTCACATATAAGGGAAACCATCTGATCATTGTTTTTTCCTTCTGACTTATCAAGCTTATTATTCCTTCCTACCCCATCCATATTTCCCAAATAGCATGAGGTTATGTTTTTGATCACAGAGTAGTATTCCATTTTATGTGTGGACCACAGCTTCATGATCCATTGACGACCCCTGATTTAAAACACAATGATAACCTGAAGCAGGACGTTTCCTAAGCCTGCTGCTTGGGGGAATCTGATGCTTAGTTTCTGTTGCCTTCTAAATCTGCTGCTTGGGGGAGTCTACCGCTTTGGCTCTGCTGCTTGCTGGAGTGGAGAAGTTGCTGGAGAAGTTGCACTGCTTGTCTGAGGTGGTAGCCATTGACACCCTTGAACCCTCTTCCAGATCAATAAAGAACGCTTATGCCATGAGAGATGGGATAGCAGTTTTCTCATACAAGCTGTATAAAACCTTGCCATTCTTGTTCCTGGGGGCTCAGCCCTTTGGGGAGCGATCCCACTGAGCCCACCTGCGTGATAATTAAATATCTCTCCACCTCTCTGAGTGCCGTCTAATTTCTGGGAAACTGCCAGAATATTTTTGGTTCCCTGGTTCTAGTTCAGCCCGTCCCAAGGGACTGGAGAACCTGGTCAACTCTCATGCCCCCTTGCGGGGCCAGGCAGAGTTGTCTGGTAGATAGAATGCATAGCCAGATACCAGATCTTTGTTTTAGGTACAAAGTAGGAAGTGATTTTGTACAAACCATTAATAAATTAAGGCGATAAATTCATCAGTGGCTGTTTTCTCCCAAACAGGTGTGCCAGAGTAACTCTGTGACAGTCAAGATCATGATAACAATGAGCTGTCAGAAGAGGATTCTATGTCCCTTGAAGTATCTTTCAAAATAAACATGATTTTAAAAAATTATGTCTACCTTTTTTAGATTCCATTTAATTTTGATGTTCATTTCTTTTTCTGCATGCTATCCCAGAGTGGTTTCTGCAGGGTTGTAAGATGAGCAAGACTGCAGCCATTTTGAGAAATAACTGCCATCTCAAAAGGGCACAGCTAGTTTCGTTTCGGGGCAAAAACCACAAGCCAAGGGTAAACAAAACCTAGCTGGCACCATGAGAGCTATCCAATCAGGGTGGACCCTGCCCCAGGTGTGAAAAGTTCCTGCACCCTGTCAACAAAGTACAAAAACAGCTGGTTGCTCTGGGAGGGGGTCCCTCTCTCAATCTGGTGAGACTGCTGTGTCAGTGCACCAGGCAGAGTTGGACCCTAGCTTAAGCTAGCAATAAAGCCTTTTTGCTTTTGCATCTCTGGCTCCGTGTGGTCTTTGGGAACCCCAGATGGAGTTGAGGCGCCAACTCCTAACAGGGTCATGGCACAGAGGGGCTGTCAGTGGCCTGGAGCTGTGAGCGGTGCTGAATCTGACCTGCCTGCAGGGAGTGGGGCCCTAGAGCCCCAGAATCAGTCCCTGGGGCTGGTCCTCCAGGGTGTCTCAGGCCTTGCTCTGCCCTCCTCTTGACCCCTTGAATCTCCCTGACACCCCAGCATTGGGGAACTGAGGGGGATGTTCTGGGTAAAGAGGGGTTAAGGACTCCCCTTAACCACTATCTCTCCCATACTCTGCCATCTGCTGCATCAAGACAAAACATGTAAGACCTTTAATGGAAAGGAACTTTAATACAGTTAGTGTGCAACAAACAAAAAGGAAAGAATAAAGTTTCCAAATCAGGCATTTAAAGTCACCCATCCCTTTGTTGGTAAATGTTCAGCCAACAGGGCCTGAATGTTGGCCCAAGCCGGGCCTGAATGCCTGCCACCTAAAGCACCTCCTGGAGGGGACCCATGGAAAAGGGGTGGACAGGGCTGACAAGTCTGGAAAGAAAAGAGCAAAATCAAGATAGATGCTGCCATTGTAACCTCCCCACAGGTCTCTCACCCACATCTGTGCCACCCAGTCCAAGGCCAAGAAGTAAGCGCCAGTTCTTCACGTGTCTCTCTGCTCCATGTGCCTCCCCCAGGTCTCCTTCTGGCTCATTCTGCTTCCTTCCTTCTCCAGTCTCCTCTCCAGCTGCTGCTTCTCCCTGCTCAGCTCCACCCTCCTTGGGTGGGACAGGGAACCTGGACCCTCCCCTGGGGACCCGCCTGTTACAGTCCTCTCCGTCACCAGCATGTGCGTGTGTGTGGGTGACACCAGCCCTGCAAGGACGGGCAAGGCCCCAGATGTGCACAGTTCCCTGGGCAGTCACAGGCCAGCACTGCTACATCCCCCCAGGTGAGACAGAGGGCTCTGAGCCTCCCAGTGAGAGCCCGTGTCACCCACATAGTCCTTCCCCCCACAGTGTCCCCTATGCTGCCCCTTTCCAGCCCGGTCCTCTCTGGCTCCCCACTGTACTCCTTTCCACCTGTGTTCCCTAAAGTCCCCATTTCCATCCTCTGCTCTCTTTTCCAGGAGTCTCTCCATCTTCCTAGCCAGTGCCAGGCAGCTCTCCTAGGCCCCTCCCCTCCTCCAAAGGGTGGAGAATGTCAGGTGATTCCCAGGAGGAGGGGCTTTCATCCTTGGAAGCAGAAGCAGAAACAAATTACAGGGGCCCTGGAATCTAAGTTTCCATCCCAAGAGACTGAGGCAGCCTATGTATTTGGGGATTTGCCCAGAACTTAGGAACCAGTACTTATGTCCCGGAGACCACTGGAGACTAAAAATAAGGATAAACTGACACGTGCTTGGGCTCCCCCTGGTCCTGCTGCTGGGAGCCCAGGGAGCCTGGGGAGGGCCTGGCTGAGCAGGAGAAAGGGCAGCTCTGGGCTCCTGTGCTCAGCCCTGTGGCCACACGGGGGCGCTGCCGCGCTGTTCTGGAGTCTGGAAAAGACCTAATGCGCACAAAGAATTCTAAAGAATTCTAAAGAATTCTCAGAGGGGCCTCCCTGGTGGCTCTGCGGTTGAGCACCGGTTGCGAAGCTGCCCACAGCCTCTGCAGCGCCACTTCGATCTCCAGCCGCCGGGCGAGAGTCCCACATGGCGCGCAGACCTCTCCTGCTGCCCGCTGCCCCCCTTAGCAGTGTACTTCGTCAGTCTGCCTGCTCTGCTCCCCGCTCTGGCTCTGGTGAATTCTCTTACCCTCCCACGCTTCTGACTGAACCCAGTGCTTGTATAAATAAATAAATCAATCTTTAAAAAAAAATTTCTCAGAGTTAGGGGTCCTGGCGGGTGGCATCCTGAGGGTGAGTCGCTCTATGTGGAGCAAGAAACCAGGGCTAAGAGGAGAGCAGACTCCATAGTTTCCATTTTTTTCTCCTCAGAACGCCTAGGAAAACTGGAAATTAGACAGATTTTTTTCCTTCTACAACCAATAAAATTTGGAGGGTATTAAAAAAAATAACATTTAGGACCTCCTGGTGGTGCAAGGGGTTAAGACGCCTCCTATGAAGTCCTCCGCAGACACTGCAGCACAAGTTCGATCCCCAGCCAGGGCAATACCAACATGGCACAGCAGACCTCTCAGGACCTGCCGGCTGCTCCACTCAGCAGCGTTATTTCAGTCAGTCTGCCTGTTCTGTTCCCCACTCTGTCTCTGGTGAATCCTCTCATCCCCCACACCTCTGGCCTGTACTCCCGGTGTTGTATGCATAAATAAATAAATCTTTTTAAAAAATAACATTTAAAAAATACTGTGAGACTTACAGAAAAGTTGCAAAGGTAGCACAGTTCTTGTTTATCCCACAGCATTTCTATTTTGCTAACATCCTACATGAGTAAAGTTTTTTTTTATGACTAATGAAGTAATGTTGACATAATTACTAAATGCCATACTTTCATTAGGTTTTGCTAATGTCCATTTTATGCTCCATAATCCCATCCAGTTTGCCTGGATGACAGTTTCTCAGACTTTCCTCATTTTTGAAACATTGACTTTGGTGAGGAGTGATGTTTTGGAGAGGTCATGGGTTCACAGATGGGGGTTCTTGGGTCACCTCTTAGAAGAAAATTTCACCAAAGTCCTCCTTTCAGTGGTGTGTACCCCCCCCCATGCTTCCCCCCATATCCCACAAAAAAGGAAAGAAGGAGATGCTTGTGCGGATACCAGCAGGCAGGAGGAGCTGCCCCTGGAGAGAGCAGGTGTGTTAGGAGTAGCCCACAGACCCAGGCGGCAGCCTTGGGAGCAGAGCTGTCTCTTCCCAGGGCAGAAAGGGCACTGAGGTGGTGTTCTTGTTGGGAGGGCTCATTCCTTTGTGCTATTGGTATCTGTCTTTAAATGAATGACTTCTATGGTGTGACTAGGCTGATTTGTAAGGACCAGCGATTCTCTGCAATGGCTCTATCCGCGTACCCCAGCTCTGGTCTGTATCGTCCTGTAGCATCTGATACTTGCTGTAGCAGTTGGCCCTAAGCATTTTTCATTTCTATAGTTGGTTTAATAACTATTTTAATCACTTCTACCCCCACCTCCAGTTTCTGGTCATGTGACCCCTCCACCCTAATTTTTCTATTTTTTTTAAAGATTTATTTATTTATGCATACAAGAATTGGGGCACAGGCCAGAGGTGGGGGGTGGGGCGGTGAGAGGATTCACCAGAGACAGCATGAGGAACAGAACATGCAGATTGACTGAAATACACTGCTGAGGGAGCAACAGGGAGTCAGGAGAGGTCTGCTGCGTCATGTGGTTAGCTTCCTGGCCAGGGATCAAACTTGTACTGCTGTGGCTGCAAATAGCTGCATAGGTGGTGTCTTAACCACTGGAGCCACCAGGGAGTCCTAATTTTTACTCTTGGCCTCTATCAAGGAGCACTGCTCAGGAACATAGTACCTCAATTTAGTTTTTTTTTTTTTTTTTTTTTGAGTGGGACTGTGGGTTTGGGGAAGCAGAGCACAGGGATGCAGGGCCATTGTGCATTCAACATGTCAGAGCTCATCATGTCCACCTGACTCATCACTGATGGTGTTAACCTTCAACACCAGGCTAAGGCAGTGTTGCCCAGATTTCTTCCTGCCAAATTTCTTTTTGTTCCATTTATTTAAATACTGTTGCCTTTGGAAGGTTGCACTATGTGCCGCTCAAAATTATGGGTTTTCTGCTATAAACATTTGCATTCATGCAGGGTTTTGTGCAAATACAAGTTTCAAATTAGTGGGTAACTAGCTGGGGCAGTGATCAATGGGCTGTATGTCAGGTTTTTTGTTTTCAAAGAAACTGTCAATGATCTTCCACAGTGACCGTGCCCTTTTGCATTTCTTCTGGCAGTGATGAGGCTCCTGTGTCCACATCCTGGCAGCACCTGTGCAGGGTTTGCATTTTTCAGCCCCTACTAGGTGTGATGGCGTCACTGTTGTTCTTTTTGTCTTTCCCTAGTGCCCTGTGATGCTGAGCAGCTGTTCATGTTCTTCCTTGTTCTTCCTTGTCGTCTGTGTCTCTTCTTGGTGATGTGTCTGTTAAAGTCTTTTGTCCATTTTTCAAATGAGGTACCATTCATCTACAACACAGTTTCTGTGCTTTTAAAAACTGGGTTGGGGCCTCTCCTGGTGGCGCAGTGGTTGAACGCTGGGCTGCGAAGCTGCCCGCAGCCTCTGCATCCGCCAGTTTGATTCCCGGCCGCCGGTGAGGGTCCCACATGGCGTGACAGACCTCTCCTGCTGCCCGCTGCTCCCCTCAGCAGTGTACTTCATCAGTTTGCCTGTTCTGTTCCCTGCCCTGGCTCTGGTGAATTCTCTCACCCTCCCGCGGTTCTGACTGTACCCAGTGCTTGTATAAATAAATAAATAAATAAATAAATAAATCTTTAAAAAAAATTTTCTCTCTTAAAAAAAATGAAAACTGGGTTGTTTCTTTTTGCTCATTGAGTTTTAAGCGTTATTTTGTATATTCTAAATACAGTCCTTTATCAGATTCATGATAT